GAAGTAGAGGAAGACAACAAGGAGAACCAAGACCCCAAAATAGAGAACTGGGATGGTGCTGGGGACAGCCAGGCTCTGCGCCCGGCTCGACTAAGCCCCAGCCCGCAATGGCCGAGAGAACCGGCCAGGCACGTCAGAGGAAGCAGACAGCAGAGACGGGCAAAAGTCCCAACTCTGAAAGAAAAGAAGTTATGAATCCTAATATAAAATTACACAGACTGGGTTTATGGTAGGTCTTCCCTTTGCCAGAACCACCAATTAGCTATTTTTGCTCAGATCTCCTGCTTGTCCTTTAGGTGTCAGCTTAAACGTCACGTTTTCTGACAATGTCTTTCCAGGGCTCCCAGACTAGTTTAGTCCTCCTACAATAACCTCCCACGGTACCCTCTATTTCTCCTCTCAGCCTTTATTGTCATTGCTTTTTAAATTAGCCATGTAGGGCAGGGGCTAAACAGCAGATCACAGGGAGCAACAAGAAAAATGGGCCACGGGCAACTGCTCAAGGCCCAAGGGCCACAAAGCAATCTCCTAGCTTGCTTAGACTGTTTTCCTAGACTTTAGCAAAGAGCTGGGCACCCAAATGTTTCAGGGGCAGTGAATGACTGAGTGAATAAATGCCATCAATCCAAAGTTCTAGAGTAAATTGCTAAATATTTTACAAGCATTTAGAAAAGAAAAACAATCCATAGCTGAGGTTTGTTAAGAATAAGACATGCAAACTTACTTCCTTTTTTGATAAGGTTAATAATTCCAGGGCTATTCTGCTACATATGTAGTGGACACAGACTTTGGCTAGCCTTTGGCCAAACCACGCTGTGTTCTTCTAGACAAGATGATGACGTGAAGGCTCATTGATACTAAAGTTAGCAGTGACTTAGTTTTACCCAGTTGCCAACTCTTATCCAAAATATAATCATTAGAAACCTCCAGGGAGGCCTCAGGAGGTTATGTCATGGGGCTCTATTATTAGCTCCATCATGGCGAACACCGTAAGCCAGGAAATTTTGGATCAGGATATGGATGGCAGGCTAATCCAATTTGTAGCTGACATACACAACTGGATAAAATGTCAGATGACTGGATCAGAATCCAAAAAGATTTCATCAGAATGGGTGACGGGCCAAATCTCACAGGATGGAGTTTTATAGTGTTGTGTGTACTTAGCTGCCTGAGCCAACGCAGAAGGGGCAGGATGGAAGAAACAGCATGAAAGAGCACCAAAAGTAGGGGGGGATATCTTGGGAGTTGTATTTTATCTCAAGCTCAGGATGACTCAAGGCTATGACAGTGTAAACCACGTGCGTTATTCAAAGTCCAGAGCAGGGAATGTCATCATACTGTGCCCTGGGCCAGCATTATGTTCAAACCCAAACGGGATGACTTAGGAGGAGGGTGGTGGTTGTTTTGCTTTGTTTAAGTCAGTAAGAATCCATACAACACTAAGCAACCATGAGAAAGAATGAGGATGCTCTCTGTGTACAGGTTTGAAAATTCAATATGTACTGTCATAATGAAAAGGCTAGGTGGAGAACATTTTGTAGAGTACACTAACATTTACATAAAAAAAAGGAAGTGTGTGTGTATACACACACAAATATCTGTTTGCATGTACGTAAAGCAAACTCTATAAAGACACAAGAAACTGGCACAACTGGCTGGCTCTGAGGACAGGAACTAGTTGGCTAGAGACAGGTGTGCAAGAGAGACAGACACAGACTGAGAGCTCTCACTGCAGAGCCTTCTTTACACTTTTAGTTCAAAACTACTTAAATATAGTAACAACTCAAAAAAGTTGTTTTTAAGTAGCCAGGATAGCTAATAAACAAACAAATTTCACATGAAGACTTAGGAATGTTTAACCTGGTTTAAAAAAAACAACAGATGATTCTTTCTGCAGGAAGTGGGGTGGGGTGGCAGAAGCCAAGTCATTTTATGTTATGAGGCTGCAGAGGGCAAACCCCAAGCCAGGGAGTAAACAGCTGTAGGAAGGCAAATGCGTCTTACTGATGGGAAGGAACTTCCGGTTATTCTCAAACAAGGTTCTGGTCAAACACGGAGCAGGTGGCCTCCATGGGTGGACAGGTGGCCTCCTGAGGTGGACAGCTGGCCGGCTGGCACCGGAGGGAGAGGAAAGGCCTATCACCTACAGAACTATCACCAGGGGGAGGAAAACGAGCCAGATGGTCCTCGATGTCCCTTCCCAGCTCTGAGATGTGATTTTAGAAGACCCACACATGAGGAGCCAACAGCTCAGTCTAAGGAGATTTCTCCAAGAGCACACAACATTTTCAATATGTACATATGTAACTTCTCTAAGACAACACGGGAACAATAATGACAATCCCCATCCACCTCAAACACAAAAGATTATTCACAAATCAGAATGCTTCCTTACTCGTAAGCCAGTTTCAAAATATCATGAATGAAATAACCAATAGAAATGAAATAAGAGCATCTGTAAACAGTACTTTCTTTTGGTCTGTTTGTTAATCTTCTTCCACATCTCATTCCAGAAAGGATTTATGGTGGCTAGCTGGCTCTAGACAGGATGTTTAAAATTCCTGTTATAAAGAACAGCAAAATTTCTTCCACAACGGGCTGGTCATCAGAATCCTTCTAGAGATGACTTTAAGAGAAGGACTCTGTAAGAAAGTGCAAGAGGTCGCTAGCCCAAGGGGTGGCTGAAGTCAGCTTGAAGGCTGCACAAAAGCTAAACTGAAACAACACAGAAAAGCAAAATCACCAGCTGGGATGAGAGTGAAGACAAACTTTGCCAAGGGAAAAGCAGCAAACAGAATTGAGCTGTCCCATGAGAAAATTCAAGAAGCCATGCCTCCCAGTGCCACAAACCTAAGAGAGCTGCAGATGTCAACCACAGGACAGCAGATCCTGGGGGTGACAAGAATAACAGGACTTGTCATGGCCTGAGACCCACAAAGCAACCCCTTATTTTGAACCACTCCCTAATTCCTCGCTCACATTCTAGCATTTCTATGGCTGAATACCAGCAGCACACAGTGAGTGATGCTCATCTCTAAAAATCTACCAGGTATCAGTGCACCTGAGACCACACCTTCATGGACACTGGCTTCACATTTAAAAGGAGACAAGTAAGCTAGATGTATTGATCTCACGTTGGGCAGAAACACTGCTTCCGTAGCTCTGCTTCCTTAAAATGTGCAACCGTGTGTTATCGGATTTAACATTTCAGCTGAGCCTCATTATCCAGCAATTCCATTTTATTACAAAGACATAACTCATATGAACAACTCATTAACAAGATAGTGACTCGGAAAAATTCTATTTCCTAGCTTATGGGAATTTTGCCTTGTGTTTTGAATTATGACATTTTTAAAAAAGCAAAATAAAAATTTGTTGATTTTTTTTTTTTCAGTTTCCTCATAGAAATATATAAGACTAAAGGAGTTCATCTCAGTATTAACCTTTTTTGTTTTTCAACTTAAAACTCAAGTCAAGTTTTCCAGTTCTTCTTCACACTGCAGAATAATCTCAGTCACCAGCTGGGTGTGTACCGCTTCAAAGAGACGTATAACTAAGATAGACCAGAAATAAAATTACAAATGTTGTGTTACTTCCAACAGAACGCTTTCAGAGGACCAAAAAAACAAGGATGTCAAGGTATTCTTTTTTAAGGCACCTGCAGGATGCTAGATTGTCAGTGTGCTTGTTCTCTGAAACACCATCTGAAATACATTTTAAAATATTTATGCCTTTCACAGTAATATTTTATGAAGTTTGATTACTTTTGAATTGCCATAATATGGATTTCACATAATATAGGAAGGGAGAAATTCCAAAACAATGTACTCCCTTCATTGTTCTACCTACCTAGGCAGCCACACTTTTCCCATTTCAGCACACTGCCTGAAACCTAGGAGGCCCCCATAAATATCTGATGAATAACTGGATATTGTGAATAATATTTAGGCTTGCCCGATCCTGCCCTGGCACCAGCTTCGGAGCACTTGGGAAACTGCAGTTTCCTGGTTCCAGCTGCTGGTTGGGACTCCACAGGTGCTAAAAGGAGCTGTGACTAACACCTTATTCGGCCCCTTGCAAGTTCTCAGCCGCGGAGCAGCAGAAGGCTCCATACAGTCTAGCAAACATGCACGAGCTCAATCACCACAGAGTCGTGTAAATTGAGGACTGCCTGGGTCAAGTTTTCCTTTTAGAGAACTTTTCTTGGGTTCATGGCCTTTTCTAAGGCCCACATCACATGTCCATTTTTTACTTTATTTTTAAGGGTTTCCTATCAAATACGTTATTCATTTTTCTTTTATTAATCAACATCTATTCAATGCTATTTCTTTCTATAATTTGAAATTAATGTTTAATCTTAAGGCCAAGCGCTTTGTCCTTGGTTTTGACTGTCAATGTTTAACAAAGTTTACCGGCTTGCTGCTTTGAATCTTCCAACGCGCACCCTAGGAGACACAGATGTCAGCCTCTTCCCAACTACAGGCCCTGGGACACATTTTGCAGCATTTACAAAGCCCCTGCTATTCTTTAGGTCTGTCTATAAAGAGGCTGTTACATTTATGAAGGTGACTTTTTTTAAACATCAAATGAGAGGCTACGGAAAGTCAGGGACCAATGATTCATCCACAGGATGATGAAGCCAATGATACAACCATTCCACCAGCAAGTCTGCGTGATTCAGCTTGGGACCAATTCCCAAAGAGGCACTGGAACCAGACTCCTTCCATAACCTGGACCTGATCATTTTACCTCCCCTCCCCCCAAAACTCTGAGGTTACCGGAAGAGCGTCAGCCAACCTGCAAGTGGCTGTCCACAGTGGTTGAAGGTTGGTACCTGTCCTGCAATTCTGCATTGCCACACTGCACAGGTGCTGGTTCCCTGCAAGACTCTATGCAGGAAGATGTGCTAAGAAACCACAGGAGCAGCACGGAGCATCGTCTCGGAGCACCAGTTTTTCTGGACGTCTTCATGGGTAGAACAGTCATCCTCAAAGCATTAAATAGTCCCTCAACTAGCAGCACTAGCGTCACCTGGCAACTTAGTGGAAATGCAAATTCTCAGGCCCCACCCCAGAGTTCCAGAATCAGAATCTCCGGGGCTGGAGTCTGGCAATCTGTGTTCACAAGTCCCCCTCTTCCCAGGGAAAATCTGGATGGAAACATGCTAGAGAAGCCACCGAAATCTAAATGCAGGGCCCTCCCAGGTCTGCATCTCTACCCTGAACCCCTATCCTCCCGGCATCCCAGCCCGGAATCACTCTCTCTCCTTCTCTCCCCCCCAGCCCCCCTCTTGGGAAGACTACACCAAAAACTGAACAGCTCCTCAGTGTTCATCTCACTCCTTGGTTCCAAAGCTTGGGGCTTCCCAAGGACTCTTATCAAGAATTACCCTGTGGGGAAAAACATACCAAACATTAGTGAAGGCTCCTCTTGGGTGGCGGGAGGAGGGGATGTTTCCACTTTGAGAATAGTCTATCATTCTGAGTTGCTATTGTTCCATTTATCTTTTCTTATTTTTCCAAAGAGCATGTGTTATACTTTTCATAATAACAAATTAAATTGTTTTCATGGGGAGTAAGAACCACTTTATGCCACAACAGATTCTTTATGTCACCCAATATTTACTCAATCTCACTGATTCTTTCTATCCCATGGTATAGATTATTTGACACTCAATTTCATCAAGTATCTATGAGTATATTCGAATCATCGCCCCTGCCTACCACAGTATTCTCATTCTCTTCCTGCACGAACTCACAAAGACTCAGGCAGTCCTGGTCACCACCAGACTATGGCTCTCCCTTGAGCACTGCTCCCCACTCCACTCTCTTACATAGCCCCCTCTTTGTTCTCTAATCCCAGATTATTTCAAAATCCAGTCAATTAAATGACTATTAACACTTGACCCTTCATGTCCAATACTCCTTAAGACACCAGTAAGCTTTGTTCAGGCTGCCCCTCCTACATACACACACACACACACACACTCCCACACACCAGTGACCAGTCTACAGCCTTATCTTCACAACCATCCTGTAAATTACCATGCTATGGGGATTTCTGTATTTTCACACTGGTTCTGGACCCTCATATTTAGCAACTATTCTTGAGCACCGACTACACACCAGAAATTTAAATTCTGAATAACTACAACTCATCCTTGACCTCCTGAAGCAAACAAACCATGAGGCAGGAAACATCAGTATAAATGGAGTGAGAGTCATGGAGCCTGGACAAACTGAGGAGAAAGAACAGGAAAAGGAAAGAAGGTGGACAAGGCAGATAGGAAACATGAAGAGCAGTCCTCCAACAGTTTCTCCAGGGAGAAGCAGCAGTGTCTTTCCCTCCACCCCCGCTGCAGCAGTCTGTCCCTACAGGCATGATTTTAGGAATCTTCTCAGGAGAGCAGGTAAGGAATGCACATTTGGCACCGGAATGACTCCAAAAACTCAAGGCTGTTAGTCACCAGAAAATGACACTCAGGGAACTTATGAAATACCCTGCAGGGGTTTTTAAAAAGTAGATTACATTCCATTCCCTCAGTCTGGCTGGGGGTGTGGCCTGAACTCCCCAACAAAGTTCAAAGTCCTTTTGTAGTTGCAGGAGTGAGGGAGTCACACTGTCTTCCCTGGGGCAAGGGAGGGGAGCGAGGCAAGATCAGAGTGACCACCACTCCCATGGAACCAAGGCCCCCCAGTATGGAAAACAGTGCCCTGGCCTTGGTGTCTGCCAGCCCGGCCACCATGCAGTGACGGCCAGCAGGTACAGGCAGCCAGCTCACAAAGGGGCCGGATACCTGAAGGAGCACCTCATACCCCTCTTTCTGCAAGAGGGGTCCCGGCCCTCCTCCTCTACTCCTAAGTAAATATTCAAAGCAATCTAGCTCGGATCTAAAATGCATTTTGTCAGCCCAAATAATTGAGGCTTTTAATTTTCTCCTTTTAAGCACCAGAAACAAAGGTTTCTAACCAGTAGTTAAAATTTATCAAAAACACAAAGGTCCCTGGCACTGGCCGGCAGGGTAAACAGCAGGTAAATGAATGCAGTGATTCCAGAACCAAAAGGCAGCACCCCTTCGCACAGAATGCTGTTATTCAGCTATTTACATTTAAATCTTTATCAAATTCTTTCAACAGGCAAACAATGAAACATAACAAAACCTAAAAGAAAATCTTCCTTACTTCCAAAAAATAACAATTCTACTCAATATCCAATACTAGAAAAGGCCTTACTCCGATAAACTGCACAGAAATAAATTACTATCCCCAGTAAAGCTTCATCTCTCACTGTACAATTTATAAACAAATATTCGCAGATGCCCATTTCTTTTCCCTTTAAGAAAAATTCACAACTTTCCTTACATTTTAAATCCATTCATTTCCTTAAATTTTTTTCCCCAAAGCAACATCTCCATTGAAGAAAACTAATCAGGCCCATTTAGACTCGTTCCTAGAGAAAAGTTCACAAGCCCAAGGTCTAAACAAAATCTTTCCAGAAAGAAGAAAACTAAGTCAACTATGTTAGAGATGAATTACTAGCTCAAGAATCTTGAGATAACATAAAAACTACTATGACTGTGGATGAATTAGCAGTTTTAAATGCCCCAGGAAGGTAAAACCTCCGCCCCCACCAAGAAAAGTCTTACCAGGCGGCATTAATTCCTTATACGCAGGCCGTCTCAGTTAGAAGACACCAAACATGAAGGGTGAGATAAAGCCGGAAAACTCAAGCGCATGAGCAGTTCTGAAGACGATGCGGAGGTCTTGGCTGCTGCCACGGGTAACTTTCCACTTTCAGGTGCCAAGGGGAGAGAGGACTAACTTTAACTGGACCCCCAGGAAAGTGCACCCCAGGTGTGCTCCTCTCTAGAAAAGCCGTCTCACTTCACATCTTTGCTGCCTAAGGAACCTGCCACCTGGACACCACTCTTCAGCTTCTCAGAACCCTGCAGTTACCTCCGCAGTTAGACCCTACCTTATATGGGGCTCCGTATAAGGCAGCGCCACTTGTCAGCGTCCCTCCACCTTCAGTCAATGTTTGGAGGTACGCCCTGTCTTAACCCTTCAACAGTTCATCTTTTCCCTGTGCACACTGCTTCCTCTTCTGCTGCTTTGGGCTCATGCAAGATGCAGTTGGCTGTAAGTTTCTCAGAAGGAATCTGCAGTTTCACTCAAGACAAATACATTATTAGGCTCCTTGTACGTGGAGGCCCTTACTAGTGTATCATGTAGTCAAGGGACATCTAAATTCTTACCAACTTCTTAGACCAATCAAATAATAAAATCTTAAAATACCAAAAACATGGATTCATCTTTCTTCTAAGAAAGACCTAATAATCCACTACAGTTTGGTTTTTTCCACAAAAAGTGTAAAATAAAGTCAGTGTTATAGGCTGAATTGTGCATCCTCTTTCAAATCCATATGTTGAAGGCCTTACTCCCTGCATCTCAAAATGTGACTGTATTTGGAGATAAGGCCTTTAAAGAGGTGGTTACATTAAAATGAGGCCAGCAGGGTGGTCTTAATCCAATCTGACTAGTATCCTTATAAGAGGAAATTTGGACACAGAGAGAGAGAGACCAGGACTGGTGTCCTTATAAGAGGAAATATGGACATAGACCGACACCACATGAGTAGACAAAGCGAGCAGACAGACATCAGCAAGCCAAGGAGAGAGGCCTCAAGAAACAACCCTGCTGGCAACTTCATCTTGAACTTCTAGCCTCCAGAACTGCGAGGAATAAATTTCTACTGTTTAAGCCAATCTATGGTATTTTGTTACGGCAGCCCGAGCAAACTAACAGAGCTGGAAAGAGAAAACAGGAGCTAAGTGACCAAGTAATTCAGCAAGACAACAGTATAAGACGCAACATCAGTCCAAACAGTCCTCAGGTGGGTGATTCCAGGGGAGAAAAAGGGTGACCCCCCTTGGGTCCCGTGTCCTTCCCCGGGGACACACAGCTTGACCGACAAACCACATTCTCAGCCTGGCTCCTTCTACAATGCAGGGCCCGAGGACAGCAGCCCCGCCCTGTGGACAGAGAGACCTGGCAGGTGAGGTGGGCCCAGCAGGATGGAGAAGATTTGCTGGCAGAGAAGATGAGGGGTAGCAAAGAGAGGCCATGTGCATTAAGAGGACATTCAAAAGCCCAAGTGAGAGAGAACGAATAAACAAACAGGACAAGGGGCATAAAGAACAACCCCACAATCTGTAATTAGCAAATACACATTTGAAATATTGGCCAATCTCCCCTTAAGTTAGGAAAAATAAAAAATTTTTAACACGATGCTGTTTACGCAAAAATAAGCACATTCAGAACACTGGTATTAATAGCCATCATAATTCACCGACAGGAGCACTGAAGTTTAGGGAGGGAGAGCCGTAACCCGCCCAAGATCGAGTGGCTGCCAGAGGCAGAAGCTAGACAGAAACTCAGGTTTTTCTAGTACAGGGCTTCTCAACTGGGGGGTGACTCCATCATAAAAGGGACATTTGGCAATGCGTAGTGACATCTTTAATTGTCACAACAGGAGGAGGTGCTAGTGATACCTACTGGACAGAGGCCAGGGATGCAGCAGACACAACGCACAAGTCGGCCTCCAGCAACAAGTTACCATCCAGCTCAACTGTCAACAGGGCCACCCTAGCGAACTTCTGCTCTAGCACCAAAACCACTGCAACCACATTTTCGCAACCTTTTTCTAAGTTTGAAATAATTTCCAAAAAAAGTTACCAAAACACACACAGGCACATAGTGACACACACACACACACAGCATGAAGGCCATCAATCACCCTGCTGAACACCCTATTTCTAACCAAGAGGAACCTCCAGTCCCGGGCCTCCAGCACCAGCCAAAGCTCACACCGGCACCCAACACCTCTGAGCGGGGCTCCACGTGGAGTCCTGAGACGGCTAATCCCTGCCTCCCCCAGGGGTCCTCCCGGGCCCCTGACTGCAAGCACTCCCACATTCGGTCAGTTCTCCCACCCACATCTGCTCTGCATGTCCTCTCAGGATGGCTACACAATTTGTGGGAGCCAGTGCAAAATGAAAATGTGGGCCTTTTGTTCAAAAATTAAGAATTTCAAGACAGCGAAATTTCGGTAACATTAAACCAAGCACAGGGCCGTCACTGCCTCAGAAGTCTGGGGCCGCGTGTGGCTGCAGCAACCTCGTGCCACTCCTCGCCTTTCCCCAGCCTCCGCACCAAGCCCATCAGGACCCTCTTCACATTCTTTTTCCAAAATGGTCTCCCTACTTCTTTGTCACACCTGAAGCTTGGCTCTGCACAGAGGACAGGCTGGGGCCGGCCAGGAGTTCTCCCACACTTCACAGCCCAGGGCCGACTCCTACACTGGAGCTTTCCACCACGGCCTCCAAACCCCTGCTCCTCTGCTTGTCATGAAGAGCCCTCCTTGCATTTCATCCACAGCCACCTTGTCAGTCATTCAACACCCCTGTACCCCATCCTCTCTTCAAAAGTGACATTGGAACCTGGGTCACCATCTTCCTCTATGGCCCCAATCCTGCATTATCCTAAATGACATCAGGGCCCATGCCTATGGGGCACCTTTGGTTCATAAACAGCCTCCTGAACCCAAGCATCTCCACCCAATTCTACCTCACCACCCACACTCATGCTGGACTTGACCATCACTAGGAGCTGCTCCATCTCTGAAAACCCCGACCTCAGTATGCCCTCCTCTACCCGCAGGTCTCTCCAGCTCACCTTTCTGAGATCAACAGACCAACCACCTAGTAAGAGCTGAGGTTAACTTAAAAGTTAACTCAGGGGCTGGCCTGGTGGTGTAGTGGTTAAGTTCAGCATGCTCTGCCTCAGCGGCTGGATTTTGTGGGTTCAGATCCCGGGTGTGGACCTACACCACTTGTCAGCCATGCTGTGGTGGCAACACACATATAAAATAGAGGAAGGTTGGAACAGATGTTAGCTCAGGGCAATCCTCCTCAAGCCAAAAAAAAGAGGAAGAATGGCAGCAGATGTTAGCTCAGGGCAAATCTTCCTCAGGAAACAAAAAAAAGTTAACTACCAAAAGTCTGGCACTGACTCAACCCTGCTTTCCATTATCTCTTGTCGTCCTTACAATAACCCCACAACATGGACACTACTCCTACTATCCCCATCTTCCAGGGAGAAAAATGATGCTGAGAGAGTTTGAGAAAAATTGATCTTGGCTAAATAAAACCAGTGAGTTGGTCAGGGCCCCAGGCACTTGGTCATAAAGTACTGTTTCCGTCCAAATCTATGAAAAACACTTTTAATCTCACCAGATAATCAAAGGAATGCAAATAAAAAACAAAAGCCTACTTTTTAAACTGAGGAGATGGACAAAGAACAAAAAAAACAATAACAATACCCAGACTGGTGAAAATGTGGGGGGACAGAGACTCTTTCAGAATGAAGAGCAAAAATGGATGCAATATTTCTAGAAGGCAATTTGGCAAAATATACAAACAGCCTTAAGTAGCAGAGAGTTTGATGTGAATAGTCCACTTCTGTGATGGAAAGACCCAGACAAGTGGGCAAAGATGCATTTACAAGAATACTCATGAAGGGGGAAAAAAACAAGCAATTCATTAGACATCTAATGGGACTGGTTAAATCAGTTAGACTAATAATGATCATCACTAGTATTATTACCAGGTACTGTCAGCCCGGGTAAAGTGCCAATACTTTGACATGATCTCACTTAATCCTCACAATTTGGTGGATTTTACAAATGAGGAAAATCTTGCATAAGTCACTAAACAAACAGGTCAGTCATGCACTTAATGAGCAGCTCGGCTGGAATCTGACTCCAGAATTTGTGCCGTAGAGAAAGATCGTGTAGAGCAGCATCTACTGATACAGGAAGATGCCCTTGATATGTTATTCACAGTAAAAATACGTTACATTAGAGATTCTGATTCCAGATTTAATTCTTTAAAATGGCATGCAACGCTGGTTATTTATTGTCTTCTCAACTCCAAATCCGCCCTTCCCTTCTCTGCCTGTGACATTTGGGTTAGGACTCTATAAACTACATTTCCCGACTCCCTTTCTAGCTGGCTTCTCGTTAGGGCCCAGAGGAGGCCCTGCTGGGAGACGCGGAGGAGAGGAAGAGCCGTCCCCGTCTTCCAGGCTCCTTCAGCATCGCCCTAGCATCAGCAGTTGACCCCTCCTCCTTCCAGCACCCATCCTTCAGCGTCGCCCCCACCTCAGAGGTTCCAGCACAGCTGGAGAACCGCCCCTTCTCAGGGCTCAGCACCATCCCCACTGGGCCTCCTCACAGCCCCTGGGTTCAGGTTACTCCAGCTATTCTCTAGGTTCCCCCAGTCCTGGGGGTGGGGCCTGTTCCTACAGCTGTTCCCTCTGCATTATCTCAGGGTTGCCCCTTTGTTCTTTCAGCCTCCACACCTGCATGAGCAGTTTCCAGGGTTGGGTCCCCTCCGTTGGACCCTGAGTGATACCACTGCACATACAATGATTCTACATGCAATTACCTGGCTCCTACCTTCGAGGTGCTGGGAACGAAGCACTGCAAAGACAGGCTCAGCTCTGCCCTCAGAGTACGCATCTCACAAGCAGGTCTGCCGATACGCACAGAGTGGAGTCCAGATACACTAAAACAGTCATTGCTCTTAACCTCTGTCTAGTGAGATGGTGGGTAATTTTTTTTTACTGAGGTTATGATAGTTTGCAATGTTCTGAAATTTCAGTTGTACATTATTATTTGTCAGTCACCATATAGATGCACCCCCTTCACCCTTCGTGCCCACCTCCCACCTCCCTTCCCCCTGGTAACCACTAAACAGTTCTCTTTGTGCATGTGTTAGTTTATCTTCCACATATGAGTGAACTCATACAGTGTTTGTCTTTCTCTGGCTTATTTTGCTTAACATGATACCCTCAAGGTCCATCCATGTTGTTGCAAATGGGATGGTTTTGTCTTTTTTATGGCTGAGCAGTATTCCATTATGTGTATGTGTGTGTGTGTGTATACACACACATATATAGACAAACACAAACACACACACACACACACACCCCACATCTTCTCTGTCCCGTCATTAGTCAATGGGCACTTCAATTGTTTCCATGTCTTGGCTGTTGTGAATAGTGCTACAATGAACATAGGGGTGCACAAGCCACTTTGAATTGTTGACTTCAAGTTCTTTAGATAAATACCCAGTAGTGGTATAGCTAGGTCATATGGTATTTCCATTTTCAGTTTTTGAGACATCTCCATACTGTATTCCATAGTGGCTGCATGAGATGGTGGGTAATTTCTATTTCTTCTTTATTTTTTTCTATGGATTCTGGGGTTTTTTCCAGGATTTTCTTTTATAATCAGAAAACTCAATAAATAATTCTAAAACAGACAAATTCCCCTCCTCTCTGAACTCCATAATGCTTCAAAGAGATCAGTAAGATGACCTTAAGACTAAACTGGAAAATAAAAAACATTCTGCTCTCAATATATAACCATAGTCAAGAAATGATATTTGGGGTGGAACGTTTTCTGTTCTGGCCAAAAAGAACAAAATAAAGAGATGTCAGATACCATTGCAACAACAATGAAAAAATACTACTGAAGCACCTGATATTTCTATCTAAGTAGGAAGCTATGACATAACAACACCTAAAGTACTATTTTAAATACCTACTATCAGACGACAGGGAAAAGGCCTACGCTATGTAATATTAACTAATCCTCCTCTTTCCTAGGTGTGAGACACCATCGAACCTCATGGTACTGATACCAAACCTCTTTCTTTTTTTGGTGAGGTGGATTGGCCCTGAGCTAACATCTGTTGCCAATCTTCCTCTTTTTTTTTTTCCTCCCCAAAGCCCCAGCACATAGCTGTATATCCTAGTTGTACATACTGAACCTCTTAATCTCAAATTCGTGTGCCCAATGCACAGTAAACCAATCACTGAGACATCAGTGCTTGGAGATGGAGAAAGGTTTATTCAAATTGGCCAAAATGAGAAGGTAGGAAGATAGGTTCTCTCAAATCCACCTTAACAAGAGAAGAAAGCAGGGGATTTCAAAGAGCTAAGGTGCTTGGCAGACGAGGAGTTTTGGAGGGGAAATCGGGTTTCTTTCACTCCAGATAAGCCCTTGAGCAATCTGACTTCTGGGCTTGTCTGCGGAAGCTGGGGGCTAGTTAACTGGTGATCTTTGAAAGCATTCTTTTTCTTCTGTAAAAAAAAAAGCTCATAAATCTTTGTGACCTTTGAGCCACCCCTCAGGTGAAACAAGAAAACAGCAAATTGACAAAACTCACTTCTTTTCACAACAAGGTCAAAAGGTAATCTTACTGAATATTTACAGCAACCCTCAGGTAACTCGGCTTCAGTGTTAGGACCAATATCTGCCAAGTCCTAAAGCGGGGCTTTGGCCCGGCTCTCTCTTCTCCCTTCTTTGGACAGCTGTGGAAATCCTTTGGCTTGCCCATCACACAGCTGACCACTGTGACTTCTTGATAAGGACCATTAGCAGAAGGATTGATTCCACCTCCCGTTGCCTTTGTCCACCACACCACCCAGTCTCTCTGAGGACCTGAATGCTGAACACGAGCTGGGCACAGTTCATCGGAGTTCCTAGAACACAAACATCATTTGCTTCTTTCTCTTTCTGGTTAGCTTAGTTCATGATCTTCAAACAGCACTGCGTCATCACTGGCACCGGGTTTGTAATACACCACAACATGCAGATCTTTG